TCGTTTTCATAAATCTTTCCTTCATTTTCTCTACGTCTTCTTTCATCTCTTAATCGTGACCCTGATGAATTAAACATTGGTTCCATCTGGAATGCCCTTTCTATGAAGTAGTTGCATGTGCTTTATTTTATATGTTTTTCTTTTCAATGTATTTATGTGTAGGCCTATATATGTATAGTTTAAGCGGATAGTAGCCCTCGATGGCTTATGAAGCAATAAAGTGAATTGAATTGAAATAATTTTGGATACTTTTTATGAAAGATAATGCTTCAACCAAGTAGCAGCATGAAAAATGCGCACTCCTGTTGTTGAGACGGCGTCACCACCACTACCACGTACACGCAGGTACTCCGGCGACAGTATGCTTTGCTCCGGAAGCTTCCACCTTGGATAAGCCTTGGCTCTACTACCCTGCACTGCTAAGGTGGCAACGCCTGCTCAAGTAAGGGAGTTGCGACTTTAAGGAACAAAAAACAAAACACAAATACTACAAAAATTGTAAAAAGATAAACTTAAAAAAGGTGTGTTTTAAGTTTCTTCTTAAATGTATGAACGAAAGTTGCTAAATATTACGTAGCATGATGACATAACATGTACGTGTGTGCGACTTGTAAACAATTGTAGCAGTTTTTTTTATATAAGAACTAGTATTAAAAAGCTCTGCCCAGCGTTTTGTTTTACCAATTTTAGGCTTAACATTGCTTTTATACAAGTGTCTGACATTTTCTCAGAGCTACTATAAAACAGGCTAAGAAAGGTTGATCAATAAGCTTACTGTAAATTAGTTTTAATTTAAGGTATTTTCTAAGCTGAGATCGATAAATCCCAGATCAGAGCAATACAGTATAATGGAAGTGCATGAAGTCTTTTGTATTATAAATGCAATATAGCATAAAACTAGATTTAGATGTAGGAAGAGAGCTGAATTAAATTGTGACCTAATCCCAGATTTCCTTGGATTTGAAGCTAAGTACATTGTAACCACAAGTTAAACCTATTGTTCTAAGAAATGGGAGGAGAAACATTTTTTTCTTGTTTAACCATACTTTAACCTTACTGTCATTAAGTTGGGTTAATTAAAGTAGGTGAAAAATGCATGCATCATGGTTATACTGTAAGCCCTAAGCCTTTACCGAGACAGTGATTGTTTAAGAAGAACGGGCTCTTTCTATAACAATTTCACACTATTTAAAAAACATTATAAAACAACTGACCGGTTCTTCACTAAACCATGGAGATCTTTGGCCACTGGTTCAATTCCATCCACTGAACTCTTTCTGATTCAGCTATAGTTGAATACAATAGAAGTTTCAATAACGCACTCTCTTTGGAAGAGATGTTAAATACTTCGGTCCTGTATGGCCAGTGTGCATGTTAAAGAATGCGGTAATTCTTCAAAAAAGAGTACAGGATTGTCCTCTGGTGCACTGCCCAGACGGAACCTGGAAACTTAGTGGGTTATTTTTTTATTTTATAGAACCATAATTTATATAGCGCCTTTCACAATTTGCAGATTTTATAAGCGATTATAAAAGGTGCTGGCTTCATTATTTCCCTGGCCACTGGATATACTGAATTGGCAGATCCACATATTGTGCAACTTTCTCTGCTCCCTGGGGAGTATCCCTGGTCATTGCTGCTTGGAACGCGCACGACCCATACATTCAATGTCATACCATCCTACCAGGTACCCAATTACACTCCTGGGTGGAGAGAGGCAAACGTAAGTAAAGTGCCTTACCCAGGGGCACAAGCAATGCGATAAGTGTCGGTCTCAAACTCCAATCTGACAATCAGAAATCCAACACCTTACACGGTGCACCACACACTCCTACACAGTGTCATCCACACCAAAAATACCCTTTTTTCCTCCATACATAGAGAATATAATTGCATAAAATTACTATACAATTTTAACAGGCTGAAATCCCAATCCCAATTTCTGAACTGCTTAAATCATGAGTTATGCCCTATCTAATTGTCTATTGTCAGAAACAAGTATCTTCAATATTCAATTAATATCATTTGGCCCCTAATAGACTATAATAACAGAACAGACATGTCTTTATTGTTTGAGCATGTGTTGAGCTGTTCCTTATTAAAAATACTTCCAATTTATTAAATTCTGAACCAATTTATTTCATATTTGGTTTTTAGACTATTGGCTATTGTACCTATTTGAGTTGCAAAAATCATAGAACCAAAGTTGGGGAGTTTTCTTAAACCTGAGTTAGCATTTTGTATACAAGTTTTGGGGTGGGATTAAGCCCCTGTCATTATGATATATATTTACAGGCCTATATGACAAGAAAAAATGTATTTTTTATGTATACGGCATAGAAAATGATTTAATTTAATTCTTGTTAATGTTTATTTTCATTTTAATGCACATGTTATTTTTCAACTGTGTATAAAACATATTAACATGGGAGGGAGAGATGATGTCAACATTAATTTCATTTTATGTTCACCTTCTTTCTTTATCATGTGTTACACTTTGTTAGTCATGGCAAGAAACAAGATAACCCAAGCCATGGGATCAATACAAATTTGTTGCCAGAAAAAAAAACAACATCTATCACTAATTAACTAAATTTTCAATTTTTTTAGCACGAAAAAGGAAGGCAAAAATACTCTTGGACATTATCTTTGAGGCGGTCAATTATCGTTGATTTGTCCAAGGGCTACAGGTCCAATCAGCAGACATTTCATATTAGAATAACATCTTAAGAAATTAAATTGTGCGTCCATCATTAGCTAAAATAAATATGAAATGTCATTTCGAATTAGGATGAAGTCAGGTTTTGAATTAACCTCTGGAAAAAAAGGGTCTGCATCATGTGAGCCTGCTTTACACTGACCAGAGACAATAATGACTGACGTTGAATATGATCGTAGATGATGTCAAAGTACTTGTAAAACATCAGTGTTCAAACTAAATAGCAGAAGTCGGCGACATGCTTCGACGAGGATTACATCGTATTGCTTGTGTGTTTTAAGTGTAGTTGGCACACAGCGGAGGCAAGGCACTTTAGTTATGCGTGAGTGGTCAAGGGTTCATATGATTCTTCTGTGTTTTGCATTGTAAATGCTTCCTGTACTGTATGCGAGCAAGCGATTTGCAAATAATATGCAAATAATGTATTAACATCAAAGATACTTGTACATGAGATGTTCATGTAGCACATACGCAAGATTCAGTAGATACGAAGCTAAACGAAAATGTGTGTGGGTAGTGGAAAAGAATAACACATTGATGTGAGTGTATGTGTGTGCATTTGTTCAGGAAATGCAAAATTGTGCAGTGGACAATCCTCTTCTAAAACATCATCAAAATTATGGATGACAAAAATAATACAATAGAACCCCTCATTTACGTACGGGACGGCCCCAGAGGCGTTCGTAAGAATCATTCGTATGTAAAATCTGGGTTGTGTGAAATTTCAAAGTATTTACTCTATTGATATGCTAGGCTTGGCCTGGACTGAAATTTTTTTTGGATTGGAGCCAAAACTCAAACTTGCGCTCGAAAGAAATTCAAAATAACAATCATAATAATGTACAGTACTATATATACTTGTTAATGTGTATAAAAATGTTTATTCTCTCTTTTTCAGGCAATAATATATGACTTATCTTCTAGCTTAAGAAGAATCACAGCCCCGCGGGCGTCGCAACAGGGCGAGTAACGTTTTTCACTCGATCCATGTGCTTGTGGCGTCAAGTAAATACTTGTACAGAATAACCCGGAAACCAGGGGTTCACAACTTTTTAAAAGAAGAGCGCTGATTGGCTGTAGACATGGCACGTGGACTTTTTTTTTTTGTATGCAATACGATTGTTCTACACCTACATTAACATTTGTCATGAATAATAAAGTTAAAAAGAAAATGTGGGTGTCAGTGTCTTATTTTATGGGGGAAATAATTAAATGGTAGATTAACGTTAGTAATCTTGATCTTTGTATCCAAATATATTCCCTTTCGAGTTTTGATAGGTGCCATGCTTTTCTCTAAACTTGCAATGATCATCTGAGTTAAAATTATAAATAGAACCTAAACGTGACTGTAGGCCTATACGCTACACAGTAATCTCTCGTGTGAAATTTATTTGAATATCATTGGTTAAAATAAATTTGGTAGGTGGTTAATTACGATTATTTTGTCTTTCCTACTACGTAAGAGTAAGGGCTAAGACACACATGATTTATTCAGTGGACAGCGTTCGTAAACAAATTTGAAAGTGAATAGCATTCACTTCCCAACTTTGTTTACGAACATTTTCCACTGAATAAATCATGCACATATCAATATGCCGACAACTTACGCATTGGGCAGATTTTTCTCACGGCTGCAGACATGAAGTATGATCACCGTGTTAAATGTCGGTGTATTCAAAGCGCACTATCTGCGTTTTGTATTGTAGTAGAGATCGCTGATAGTGTACAGCACACCGTCTAAGACCGAGTGAATAAACTCCAGCACAAGCCTAACAATTAATTCTTGACACGTGTGTTTTGTACATGTAATAAGAACTTTATTTATGACAACAATGACATGATTTTACGTTCGTAAAATTGGGAATTCGTAAATGAGGAGTTATACTGTAGTAGCATAGCACTGAAAGAACTAGAAACAGAACAACTGACTCAGGGCTCAGGCCCCATAGGGACCTTTGCCACTATGGTGAAGATTATTAGTGAAAAGAAATTGTCATCCATTTTGGAAACTACTCATTTAAACTAGACTTACAGTAAGTGTCCCCAATATAACACAGTTTAATAATACTTAATACATTATAAACTATCGTAACAAAATAATAAACTTGTCTTATGAAATTTAGTAAAACGTTACAGTAGTACATGAAGACTTGAACCTAATAGCTTGACTCATCAGAAGCCAAGGTGATGTGCAATTCAATGTAAATATGGTGGTTATGATACAAGTCTAAATATATTTAATCAAAATAAAATTGTAATGATATAAAGCATGTTTACTTACATTTAATGTTGGATCACTTCCTCTACTTGTTTCTGAAATAGGTTTCTGTGGGGAAAACAACACAAAGGAAACTGTTTTACTTCTACTATCTACATATATCTAACAACTAAAAAATCATCTTTCTAACCCCATCAGCTCCCTTCCACTCAAGACCCATACATTACTGATGCTAGGGCCTGCTAATAGGAAACATTTGTGAGCCTACTACTATACAGAATCTGATTGCGTTCAAAATACAAATTTATGTTATTTTTAAAACCGGCATGGTTGTAGTATCTTCTCTTAAAAAAGAATTTGTATTCCTGTATTTTAACAAATTTCAATTCAAATAATAATACTAATTCAAAGTTTCTTCTATACTGCTCATATGTATGCAAATTTATTTAAACTTTAATCATTGAGATTAGGTCTATAGATAGAATACCCGATCGAAAGTGGAGGTCCCAATTTGTGAGAAGAGCATGCGCACGTACTCTTGGAAGCCACCTGCAACGCTTCCATTGTAATGTTAAATTTGCTATTCTGACGTCACCACACGGTTGTCACAATAGCAAATTTAAGCATTGTAGGGTATGCTCTGACTCCCATTGACTCACTGAGTATGTGATTGGCCGATGTTAAAAACCCACCGTGCAGAAATTCTAAGCAGCTGAGAGTACGATGCGATAGGCCCGACTGTGACTTATACTAGATTGAAAAACTTTGCTACTCCAATGAACTGTAGCAATCCACTTGAAAATTCAGGTTTTGTATAGAAGACTGAGACTAAGAAATGCTAAATAAAACTGAGAAACTGTACTACTATATATTTTTATAATTTTTTTACTTTTAGCCATGGTAATTTTTATAACTTTTTTTACTTTTAGCCATGGTATGCTCTACATACCTTGCTTGCCTTGACGATCCGCCACTGGTAATGGTTAATATTTTTAAATTTAAATGTTTATATATTTTACATCCGACAGTAACAAAAACCGGTCAATTACAAGTTGGAATGATCCTTCATACATATACTCTCTATATGAGGCTTTGGGAGTGGAGCTGGTTTTGGTCATGAGAAAGAAGACTTGCTGTTACACGGTTGGAGCCCAGGGGCGGATTGCTATAAAACGGTCTTAACTGGTAGTCTTAACTGCTTGAATAAAGCCGGCTTTATCACTTAGACTGTCTTACTAAAGTAATTCCTCTAAGACCATTGCTATAAAACAGTCTTCCCTAAGACTGCTTTGAGTATTGAAATGCAAACAAGCACCCCCTGGCAACATAGGATTGGGGGCGACGTCATGCGTGCTCAACGCACGCAAATATTGTATCGAAATGAACGTAAGTAAACGTAGACCTACTTTCACAGACGCTGAGAAGCGTGCGGAATATTCGTTGTTTGATTCTCCGACTTTGACGATCTAGGCCTAGGTTTTGCCATTGCACTATTGAATTAATCAGCAGAACGCCATGATGAAAATGATTTAAGACCATTTTAAGCCTCCTCCGAGAAGGCTTTAAAATTTAAGACGGCTAACTGGTTAGACCGCAGTACTGTATATCAATGGTCTATAATCATAGACCAGTAGTGACGTCATGATTATAGTCGGCTAACCGTTAAGACCGTCTAAAGACCGCTTATAGCAATCCACCCCAGAGCTCTGGGATTAGAAGGCTTTGAACCGTAACCACCGAGCTATTCAGCTTCACTCCAATTGACACTATCAATTTCTTACCTGTGAACCTGCATTTCCTTTCCTTCTAGACCTTGGACTTTTTTCAGATTCAAATGATTTATTAATCATTTGAACCTGATCAGTAACACTTGAAATTTGAGCTTTTTCTTCGATAATTCGTTCACCTTCTTTAGACTAAAACATAATCAGGGGAAAAATACCAACACATTAAAAGAAAATAAACACATTACAAAATAAAACAGATAAATGGGTATTCAAAATTATATATTTTTAGGTTTGGAGTGGATGATCAACAATTTTTACATGCCCTAACCTCAAAAGCTGTGAATATTTTGATTTTAAAATTTTTTGTTTAGGACTTACACATACTACATCTCTTTGTTCTGATGGGCCTGTGTAACCATCGGGTTCATCGGTACCATCATCTCCTGATGGTTCAACAATCACGATTACATTTTTCTGAAACTCTTCCTGAGACTTCTTATCAAAGAGTTCTTTTTCCCTCTGCATTCGTTCTATCTCCTGCTGTTTTAAACCCTCCTGTATTCTTTCATTCCTTATTCTCTCCTCTTCATTCCTTCTTTGCTGTTCTTGTTTCTTCTTTTCTTGAGCTTTTTTCTCTTCTTCCATCCGCCTTTCTCTTTCTTGTTTCGCTGCCTGTCTTAATTTTTCCGCATGCCTCTTGTCCTCTTCCTCTAGACGTTTAGCCTGTTGCCGACATCTCTCCTCAGCGCTTCTTCTCTCCGCTTCTGACCTACTAGGTGACCTTTCAAGAGTACCTTGTTCGTATTCATGAGGATGTCCGATTCGCCATTGGCGTGGTGATGACTCTGAATCAACTGGCTCTCTGAATTTCTTTTTTAACACAAGGTATTTTACACCCTGTAGATAATAAACAATAAAAAATAATGGGCATCTATCTCTTTTATTTACTATTTTGCACTAAAACAATAAATAAAATATCAAGCATAATAAAAAAAAAATTAGCAAATAATATAACTATGAAAATTTATAGGCCGAGCTTCCTTATAACTACTGTATTTGGTACTGTGACATGAATAATGATCAGAGGTAGTTTGAAATTAGATATTTGGAGGAACCCCCTCTATTTCTGAGATATATTAATTGTGAAATGTTTTGTATTAATTAAATTTAATGTTAGTTTCACGTTTATGATTTTAAATTGTTTTCTGGTGAGAGGGTTTATTATTTTGTTGACAAGCAAAACACCTGTGATCAGTACATTGTTTTTTTATGAACAGAAATAAAAAATAAACATTGTATGGTACAGTAGTCAAGTAGTCAAGTCACTGATTATGCGAGTGTGTGGAGCGAAGCAACACAATTCTCATTTAAATCATTGTATCAATAACTTTTTTTCAGTTTTGAAAAAAAAAATAGCCAATAGCAAAAGTTCCATGAGCACAAGAGTGGGGACATGAAACATGAGATTTTATTTGGCCTTTTATCAAGGAACTTATAAACAACCAATTACATTCAAATGACATTAACATTTACATTCATAGTGCCTTTCTTTTCAGATACAAAAAACTAAGCTTGCATGTTGCAATCAACAGGTTTCAGAAGTGCTAAAAACGGGATTTTGATGAGGAAAAAGCTGATAAACAGTGAAAATTAGTCTTTAGACAATTGCTGGAGGGATTCTTCTACAATGATTATACAGTATGAGAAGTATTTTAAAGTTCTCTGATGCAAAAGTGAATCAGACCTTTTTATTTCTGATTTAACATGTTTAAAACGAGTGTAAAAAATGTTTTTATCGCATGTTGAAGCACAAAAAAATCATAAAATTAAAAAAAATGTCATTTACATGAAGCATGATATAGCATCAAACATTAATGTATCTTGACTTTTGTAAATGCTTTGATTGACAACATCCAGAATGCTTAGTAAAATTCCAATGTTTCTTATGATGTCAGATGATTGGTAAGCCATGATAACATGCTGCTGATGATAATCACTCAATACTTTGCTACTTACATTTTCATCTTTCTTCACTGCAACTAAATTTATATATTCCTTGAACTTTTGTCTGTAATATTCTGTTGAATTTAAACAAAAACGACAGGATTTATCATTATCTAATTCACTGTGTCTGAATTTATTCTAAATTTATTTAAATTGAATTGCGCTTAAGATAACGGCAAGACATATTTTGGTATCATGCCTTTTCCAGCGGATATAGTGCTCAAAAGTCATAATCATGAGGCAAAATTAAAAACTTCCAAATAGAACAATTAAATAACCTCCAAATAGAACAATTAAATGAGAAAAATGATTGATCATGATTTGTATCTGCTTGACTCAGTATGTTTAAAGATTTTCTAAACATGCTACTATACAAATTTAAATCATTTATTGAACAAATTCTACAATTCAACATCCAGAATAACATATTCAATCAATCAAACAACAAGGATTTGTAAAGTGACAACAATCAGTGAGAAACAATGTTCAGTGGCACTAATGGTATTAATTAAATAAACACGACACGGACCACACCTGCAAAATCATGTTTAAAATTCTATCAATTGAAAGTACATATAGTATTGGTTTTTTAATATAAAAACAAACTTTTATAGTGAAATGATTTTATACCAATATTGTTTATTTTTTCCACTATGTTTCAGAAATCACTGTGTCAACATTGCATATCTGTTAACGCATTGATGTTGACAACGAATGCTATTAACCATGACCTTTCGCATACTATGAAGTTTTGTTGAGATAAAAATATACTATAAAATTTCTTGTAATTTTTCAATTACAACAATCATTTGATACAAAATCTCTCATTGAACCTCCCACAATTATTATTTTAGAGTACGCCTACTGTATTTAGCAGTGTGTGTAGGGCTATACCATGTCAGATAGGTTTATGTGATTTCATTGCACTACTTTCTGAAAGTGGGCAAAAAAACATTTAACAGTTTTCTTAAATTTTTACCAGAATAAGGACAGTTATTGCTATAAGGATAATTTATATTTAATAGTATTTTAAAAGCATCTACTCTCTTGTGATAAAACATTTTTGCATCATGTCATCTTACATGGTTTCATTTGCTTTGATTGTTTCTGTGTAGGACCCAAATTTATGCCCTTAAAAAATGAAAAATACAATTTTTTTAAAGCATAAAACATGCATAACAACTACCTATACACACCATTGATATTTACTGTATTTCAGCACTGTTGAATAATTCCGTGCACAATTACATTTTTTCACCACATTGAAGAGAATATAATTAATGAGAGGCCTAGGCCTAGGAAGTATACCGTAAAACCTTGAATTAAAGCCCAGCGGGCTAAATCTCGAGATGAAGCCCATCTCGAATTGTAGACCCCCTTTTTAGTAAACTTGCAAAAGTAGCCTCGAGAAGAAGCCCATCTTGAATAGAAGCTCATGGGCTTCTTTTTAAGCCACCTTGGAAAAAAAGCTCATGGGTTTCTTTTTAAGATAGTGTAGGCTTCTTTTTGATGATGATGACAGTACAAACACTGTACATAAATGTTAGAAAACAAAATAAATTAAAAACAAGCTTGGTTTATACAGTAGTTTAGGTGATAATGCCATGTAAATACACTTCATGATATAAATTAATGTTACAGTGGCTTTATTTATTGTTTTATAGTACAAATTCAAAAAATTTAAAGCATTCATTCTAAAAAGAAGCCCACCCTCTTTACTTTGCAGAAATAGCCTCGAAAAGAAGACCATCATGAAAAGAAGCTCATCAAAAGTTCGCAAAAAAAAAAGAAGCCCAGGGCTTCAATTCAAAGTTTTACGGTATTTATATAGCCTTCTAGAACAGGCTTAACCTAGTTAGTTGATAGGCCTGTTGGATGAAAATATTTTGTCCATCTCTTTTTGAGAATCTGAACTGACAGAGTCTAGCTGGCCTAATAGGCCTGAGACTAAGCCCTAGACAGGCCTAGCTAGGTAAGGCCTAGGCCTAGGTCTACTCCAAACTCCAAGTAGTCATTACTAAAATAAAGTACAGTACAGTATATTTTGTGGTGTTTTTTTTTTCAGCAAATGGGAAAGTGACGTTTTCCTCGTCATTACTCATTAGATCACGATACATTATCCGTCCATAAGATAGGGTAGGCCCTAGCCTGCCAATACGAAACAGATCTGTATGTGCCAGGGTGCTAAACTCCACCGTTGAACCAGGAAGTGCGTCTTCACTTGGGCCTACAACAAACTCGAAAATAACCACCGATGGCTCACCTTTTTTCTTTTGATCAGGGTAATTAAGGTATTCTTTAAAATGTAATACAACGTCTGAATTCCTTGCTTTCCCACCCTGTCTCGCTAGATAATCCCTAATGTTGTCGGTATTTATGTCATTTTCCGCCATCGTTTTTTTGTAAACAAATCATCAGATAGGCCGCCGATCCTCAATATGAGAGAGCACGTTTGAGGGCGCTAAAGTAATTGGATGACAGGACGATTGACAGAGAGCTACAAGGACACCACCTGTGATTTATTGAAATCCATAAGCGTAGCGAACGATCAATACCTGTTCGTCATAGTTTTTTTCACCTAAGCTAAATATATTTCGTATACGTTGTAATTTCGTAGTCACCAACATATATATATATGTACATTATATGTACATATTATTATTCTCTTTGAAGGCAGAATTCCATAAATAGCCTACTGTTTCTCCATGTGTATCACATAATGAACAATCCTTATTTACGTTTTATTAGGACAATCATGTTCATATTCAAAAAAATAACTTTACACTTACAGTATAATTACTACTTTAATGTTAATGAACACATTTAAATGAATTAATAATATTTTCTTTAACTAAAGATATAGACCGATCAACGAATATAAAAATGTCCGCGTATATTTCGGCTCTAAAAATACTTGGGTTAATTAAAAAATTACACTTTAAAAAAAAAATAAGAACCAGTAGTACCATTTTGCCCAGGCTCAGTACTGTGTTCTTATTTCTTGGCCGATTTCTTATGTTACACTTTTCAAACATAGAAAAAATTACACATTAAATACACATTATTATTATTACGCAGGCAAAAACTGTACGGGAATGTAAATTTGGCCCTGGAAAAAATCTCCCTTCCCCCCTGAAAGGCCAAGGTAAAAATGGTCCCAAATCACATTATAGAGGGTATTACATAGTCACACCTACTGCACATAAAAGGTAGATATAATTTTGGGGTTTTTTCTAGTTTTTTAATATAAAAATCTCATTTGATATTTTACTTTGTTCTTAATTTTTTTAAGTAATTCCAGCCTCAGTCTTCTTATAAAAAAAATAAAAGTGTAATGCATGTCCCACCCAGTAGAGTTCCGGTAGCTAGCTACTTCAGAAACCATCACCAGAAATCTGACTGACAACCCCAAGTTCTTACAAAAAATAATATAATCAACTAAACTTCGGATTGCATCACTTATTTAATAGACGATATTGATGTAACAGCAGGATGTACCGTCATAGGGTTTACTGTACAACAAGTCAACGACAACTCATAACACAATTTTCGATCGTAATTTTAATGTAGGCCTAATGATCTAGTTCGTGGTATTTATCAACTCAAGTTTAATTGGCATCGAAGTAAACGAACCAGACGAGTAGGCCTATAGAGTACTGTATGCTCTGCAGTAGGATGCGAGACCCAAAAGCGTTCACGACAAAAACCACCGAGGTTTTAGTGCACAACCCAGCGGACACGCGGGTGATTAGATTTTCACCAACATCCTATTTGTGTTATTCACCCGTCTGCCTTCATGACATCTTAATTGTTTCAAATTCACACTTTTCAATGAAGGTAAATTAGTCTTTGGAAAATGTCTTCACTAGACACTGAGAATTTTCATGCACTTTTTGGCAACATAGCTTCGTCCAAATGTTGGTGAAATAGGCCTAAAAAAAATCTGGATGACTCAAAATAAAAGTAAGACGCCATTATATTTCAATAATTCGAACTTTATTTAAATAGTCATAAAAGAATAACACTTCAATCAAATTACTGTATATCGTTTTGGTTTTCATTATTTGTGGCTACAATTTATTGCAAAATAAGCCTCACAAAGAAAAAAATCATAACGCACACGAATAATGACGTAATCATTATCGCTACTACATTGGTTGACACGAAAATTAGTGCTCATTTTTTATATAAGCCTATAGGCCTATCTAAGACAACTAGGCTATACACAGTTGTTTCAGCCTATATTCATGTATCTTATTTGCAGTTCTCTTCATTGAAACACGTTTCTTTTTTCCTCTAGAGCCAGGCTTGTTGTTCTAATCGAACACACCATTAAAGAAGTTTTCATTCAGCCTAAATTAGGGCTATTTCTCATAAAAATTCTTTCCAACGCGTCATTACCGATTTATATTGTATACAGACAGGGGCGGATCCAGAAATCTCCAAAGGGGAGGGGGAGGCGGAAGTGGGGCCGAAAGTGGAGCTATTCGAGATAACACTATCCCAGGGGGTCCGGGGGCATGCCCCCGCGAAATGTTTGTGTTTTAGACAGCCGAAAATAACCTCTGTAGCATTTTGGGTTATCATTTTTTTCTTTTTCTTTCTTTTTTTCTTGTTTTTTTTCTCTTTTACCCTCCAAGGTGTGGGGGGGGGGGGGCTAAATCCGTCCCTGACAGATGAAGCATCCATATAACGGTTTTCTCCCTTTATCAGTATTTAAAATATTGGTATGTGCAATACAGTATCTCCGTGTACATAATTCAAATTCACCTCCCCCCCCCCTTCCATTACCCATCCCACTACAATACTCCTAGTAGATACGTGTTGTTGTTCTTTCATTTTAAAGGTTCGAAGCAACCGTAAAAAGAGTTAATGTTGAAAAGTAATCGTTAACAGATTTAATAATCTAGCTTTAAAATCTACAGCAACAGGTCTTTAACCGAAATGAGCTGTATGAAGGTAATCACCAAACAGAGGTTTTTCTGTATCGACCGCATAGGAATCGCGAAATGACACCGCATAAAACGGAGTAATTTCTAATTGAATTTTATGGCACGTCAATAATAGTCACAAACGTCCCAAAGACGCCTGTTCATTGGATTCGTTTTTCATTAATACATTAATACTTGCATCGATTTTCAAAACTTTGTCAGATCTAGAAGCTGTATTTACAGTATAAGCAATTTCAATCCGACAATTCATCCAAGTCTTGTCTGAATTCTGGATATTCCCAGCCTTCGATGAGAGAAGAAGCACCGAGTAATGTCTTTGACATTGGCTAAGATTAGCTTCAATAAGGTTACAACAACAAAGGATTGTTGCATCCGCTTTGGGGACATGAAGTGTATCTGAATCTGAAGTGTTAAGCGTTCTTGTCAATGAGAAATAATCGGAGCTATACGAGTGACGAGGGTCCTCAGATGTTACCGCCGATCATTCGAAATGATGAAAGACTTACTCTTTAGGGACAAGCTCTAAAGAAGATCACCCAATTGTTTCACTGAATATGGTCAGTCAAATCCGAACGGTTTCTTCTTTTGCGGCCGCGCGGTCATCAGATGTAACTTGTAAGAAGACTGTGGTCTGTGTAATCATTTGCCTTGTTATTAATTAGCCTGACCCCCTTCCTCTTATCGGCGAATTGGCTGCCAACAACTCAGGTGCTGACATCAAAGAAACCGAACATGGAAATTAAATGTGTCTTAACACTACAAAAGAGTCCGCACTTAATACTTTGCCTGCTTACTTTCAATATACTGTATCCTGCAGATGTAGCGGTCGTATCTGACAACGAATAGCCTAGCCTTTGACCACCTTTGACCAATGGGGTGTAATTCCTACGGTACAATCATACCGCAACTTAGGCCTACTTCAAATTCTCAGAAGCATTGCCGAAGAACAAAAAATACAGTAAATAGATTAACTTAATTTTGGAGGTATACACTCATTTACAGGTTTAAATGAAAAATTCGTTTAGTTTAAAAAAAAGTCACAGCCTACAATGTCTAAGCGTTCTGAAACCCCCCACCCCCCACACAATAAT